TACTTGTGGATTGATAATAAAGCAAGGTTTTAATCCTATCAACAAAATCATACCAGTGTTTTTAAGTCAGATCGCCACCCCTAAAATTAAATTTTCCTTATGAGACAACTTATACTCCTGTTTTGTTTTTGTTGAACCAAGGAAAGCTACTTCTCAGGAACTCCCTCCCCGACGACACCAAGTGTGACCCCGTGTGTGCACATGCGTGCATGTGTGTGTGTAAGTATCTTACCCCATCTTCTACAAAGTACATCTCTTTTTCTACTTCTGTCCTCCTCAGAAACCTTAACTGAACTATATAATTAAACAGAAATCTATTTCACTTTTTAAGGTAAATTGTTTTGTAAATCAAATTTCTTCAGACCTTTCTTAGATTGGTCCTATCTTCTTGAAAATACAAACATCTTTCCCAGATAAACGTCTAGCTCCAATACTCCTTTGTCCCTTTAATTAAGTTACTATGGATTTTTACTCTGATTAGCCTGATGAAACCCTTGTTGAGGGTCACTTTGCTAACAGGATTTACCACTTTCCTTAGAATCCAACCTAAGCTGTATCAGCTCTTGATGACATGGCCCAAAGCTGCCTGTTGTATGCAGTCTGTCTCTTCATCAGTGAACAAAACTGTTGTGGCCCTATATGTCCACTTTTTCCTGCAATAACTGTTCTTCAGACACTCTAAATTCAGATGTTCCAGTGTACTTTAAAATTATTTGTCACAAACAGCAAATAATTACGTGAAAAAATGTTCAACAGCGCTGGTCATTCAATTGATGTAAATTAAAACAACACTGAGATTTCACCTGACCCCAAAAAGAATGGACAGTATTAAGAAATCAACCAATGATAAGTGGTGGAGGGGCTAAAGGAGAAAAGGAACCCTTCTCCACGGTTGGTGGGAGTGCAGACTGGTGCAACCTACATGGAAATCAGTGCAGAGTTTCCTCAAAATTAGGATTGGAGGTCCCATTTGATCCAGTTATTCCCCTTCTGGACCTCTTCCCAAAAGAACTGAAGACATTATACTACAGCAATATATGTGTATCCATGTTTATAGCAGCACAGTTTATAATAGCCAGATCTAGGAAACACCCTAAATGCCCAAGGACTAAGGAATGGATAAAAACGATGTAGTATCTCTATACAATGGAATACTACTCAGCCATAAAGAATGAAAAACTGCACACTTTTACAGGTAAATGAATGCGCCTTGAGAACATAGTTATTAGTAAAATAAATAATCTATACATGTGTAAACATATTATTTCATTAGTATGACGAGCAGAAAGAAAAAACAAGTATATATGTATGTATATGTCTATACAAAATAGTTAAGATGGTTAAAAAAAAAAGAAGCATAATGGCCTCCTTTGTCATCCACATGGCCTGTTCATAAGCAAACTCAATGCCTCCCTCACTGAACATCTCTGTAGGTTCTGCCTTCCTTTCTACACCTTGTCCCAGTCTTTTTGTCCCAGAGAGAATGACTTCAGGCAAAGCAACGTCTCAGGTCACACTTGTCTTTACTGTAACCCGCTGCGAGCCATTTTGAGTTGACTTGTGGGTGTCTTAAGAATTTTTTGATGTGCTATAAAGTTTGGGCTTTTTGCATGTGGATATCCACTTGTTTCAGGATATTTACTGAAGGTATACACCTTTCTCCACTTTAACTGCTTTTGCATCTTTGCCAGAAATCAATTTTCTGTTATGTGGATATCTATTTTGGGACTCCATATTGGTACCTTGGAGGTTTGTCTATCTTGTTATCAATGCTGTTTTGTCATGATTGGTGTAACTTTGTGATAAGTCGTGGGACTGAGGAGGGTTTTATTCCTTTATCAAAGTTTAGACTATTCTGAGTCTTTTGTATTTCTACAGAAATGTAAGAATCAAAATGTTAATTTTTATGAAAAATGATGTTGGCATTTTGATAAGGCATTGTTTTCTGATCTTTATTATTTGCTTCTATTGGTTTTTATTCTGTCTTTTATTTCTAATTTCTTAAGGAAAGGTATGAGAATATTTCATAACTTTCTTCTTTTCCAATAAATGTACTTGCTGTTTAAAAAATAAAATAAGTTTTCAGAAATACAGCATTTTTTATGACCTGGGATGAAAACTTATCACTGACCCAGTGTCATACATTCTACATGGCTAGGACTGCCAGCACTTGGTGACTTTTCTTCATATTATTTCCAAAAAAACCATTAGAAACTTAGGCATCATATTTAAAATTGTTACCCCATATACTGGGGGACACATTACTGGGGATTGAATTCAGGGCACTCCCACTGAGCACACTCCCTGTGCCCCGCCCCCTACAATTTACATTTATTTTTAAATTCTGAGACAGCATCTCACTGAGTTGCTAAGTGGCCCAGGCTGGGCTCAGACTTGCAGTCCTTTTACGTCGCCCTCCTAGAGTGCTAGGATGACAGTGTGGTTGACTGCACTCAGCTCGTCATCAGAGTTTTAATTACCTGAAAGGGTCTAACCTCCCCTGTGTGGTAAATGCTAACGCCTTAGAGTAAGGCCATGGCGTCACTGCTGTGAATGTGCCCAGTGGGGGTGAAGACTACAGCAGCCTGAAGCACTCCATCTCCACCTACACAAATACAAACGGGCTCCTCGTTACATGGCAGACACTGACTGTATCCCTTCTTCTTACTATTTCCATTTATTTCCCCTCAGCATTTTTTCTTAATGTGACCACATGGTTATGCCTTAAAATATTTTATTTATTATATTATCTCCCGGCAAGAGAAGTATACATCTAATTAATTTTGGGGTGGCCCAGGTGCTAGGATGGAATCCAGGAGTCTCTAGCATGCTAGGTGAACTGCCTACTACTGAATTGTGTCCCTCACTCCAAATTATTTTATTTTTAAATTTCTGGTGATCACAAGCCTGTTTTAAGTTTTTAATTTTGTACAACTATTCCAATTATTAATTCACAATTGCTCAGTACATCACGACTAAAGTGGAAAAATACAAAACATGAAATGTAAAATATAAAATACAAATATAAAAATGTCCATCTTAATAGCATGTAAGTGTAGTGGGTTTCTTTTAATAAGTTCATGTATCCGTTTAATAAGCTCATATCCGTCTAATATGTGCGGAAGAATCTTGCCTAGAATAAGAAGACGGTGCACAGCATTCATTCTATTCCCAGCTTTTGTCTTTATAGACTGCTCACATTAATGAGAGGTATCTGTGTTAAAGCAACCACTTAATGCTTTGATCTCTAAGGTCGTCAGTAATTATCACATAGTGATCCATCATCTTATTCAACAGTGCAGTGATCTGCCAGCTAACACACCGACCAGGTTCCTGCCAGCTAATCGGAAGAACCGCCAGGCTGATCCGTCTCACCCTTGTACCTCCTGCTTGTGCATCACATTAAAGCCCTAGGCCACCAGAGATCGGGGCTGATATTCTGGGAATGATCCCAATCAGTGCTCATCGACATGAATAAATCTGCCTCCAAATCCTAGGTGTATTTTGGTGTTTCTGCTTGCCACTGCAATTGAATTTGGTCAGAAGAAAAGAAATTAAATACATCCATCATTAGAATTACCTGAGCCATTCACTGTTTTTGCAGAACCAGAGCAAGAAGGCTTTACCAAGAGCTACTAAAGGAACATTACTATCATGACTTATATTCACACACTTCCACTCAAGAGGCAGCTTATGCAGCCAAATACAAGGCAAAACTACCTTAATAATGTACTATTTTTATAAAATAATTTTCCTTTATCAATCAGTCTCTCTAGATATGTATATAATATGTCTATATGCACAGGGATATTTGTCAACACTTTGGGTTACAGATTTAGAATTCTGTTGGTGGAAAATAACCAACATACAACCCAACTGAAAAAACCAGTAATAATCAAACCAATTAGTCAAATCAGACTTTGTGTCAGTTTAAACAACTGTACTAATTATGTATCCCTATGACAACTATTTCGCATCTGACTCCAGCATGCCAGCACAGGTCACCATCCCATATATCTAACACCATGCAACACCGAGAGCATGCACGAAGACCATAACTGAAGGTGGCCTCCCACACACACACAGCAAGCCTTCCATGGGTCAGGGGCCTCCGACCTCTGCACACCCAGCACAGGAAGATCCTGACATACGAGGTGCTCCTCCACCTGCTTCAGAGAGGAAAGGGCAGCAGAGAGCAGGCTGAGGAAGAGACGCACCACCTGTTTACTGTGGGTGTGCTCTCGGGCAAGTGGACTGCAGGGCAGTGGCCAGGCCCCAGATGCAGTCTTTAAAATCTGTGGGGCCCCGCACTCCTGGCAAGTCTCCACCAACCTTAGCAGCGCACATAAAGTAAGTCAGCTGTGGGTGCGAAGATGTAAAACAAGACACACTACAGCACCATCTTTTCTGATGCAAAATTGTGAATATGTTAACTAAGGTTATGAGTAGCAACTATGCACACTTTCTAAACAGATTTCCATCACAGCAAAACAACTAACTTCTTACTGAGTAACTTGGAAAACAGTTTATAGGTACTCAATCTCTATTGTATAGAATGTCAATCTAACTCTTCCCAGGCCTCCCCTAGCACTTAAGAGTTCTGCATCATAAACATTATAAACATGAAACAGAGTAGCAATAGGAAAAATACCAACGGAGAACATGCACAATGACAGTATGATAAAAAAAAAATCCCAAAAGGCCCCATCCTGTTAAAAACACATTAGTATCTAAATTTCCTGAAAATAAAAAAGGACTGTGACCATCCATTACTACCTGTAATAACAACAGCAGCTATTTAGAAAAGCAGTTACATCCTGGAGACACATGAAAGCCAATGTGAGCATTCAAAAGGAAAAGTCATGAAGCACTGCGATCTATATATAAAGACACACACTTCCCTAGAGCTGAGGTGACTTGGTTCTGAAAAGGACAAAAGATCAATGGAGCTGATGAGCAGATGGTTCCGGCTGGCACTTCATGGAGCCTGTTACACTCACCGCCTCGGTGTGAACAGGGTACACAGCGAACAGCAAGGCCGTCACAAAGGCAAGGCCCCGGTCCGGAAGACCGGATGTACACAGGTGTACATCAGCACGAGCGTCACCAGGCAGTGCAGGATCACATTCACCACGTGAAAGTAGAATGGGTCCATGCCCGTCAACAGAATGTTGAGCCTGTAAAAAAGTAACAAGGAAAAACGTAAAGCCAGTAGCAGCTACAAGCATAAGCGTGAGAAAAGCAAAGGAAACTCTCACTTTAAAGAAAGATACATTCCCTACCTATGTAATTATTTTTAAATGACTCCTGACAGAGGATTATTTTACATTTGAGTAACCACCACTTTTTTCCTATCTCAGCATTGTCCAGTCTGCAGAAATCAATGCATGCACGATGTACAGTATTATTTCAAGAACCCTTGGTCACACTGAGAAAGCAGACAGGCAGGAACTGATTCTGTTTTCTCTCTATCCACAATGCAAATACCTGCATAATATCCTTGCTTTTACTGCCAGCTCCTCCGAAGCAACTGAGCACTCAAACGCAAATCCAAAGTGCTGTCTGTGGACCCCAGAGCCTTTTCACTGGAGATGAACAGAACCACGAGACTGTGACTGTGCCCACACAGAGACAAATCTGGCAGGAGCCTCACTACAGTGCCACCAAGAAGCACACTTCCAGATTTATGTGCTGGGAGCATCATCCAGTTAACAGCTCACAAGGGATGTATGTTTAGGGTGCTGTATGCTATTGTCAGGGGCAGCAGAAATTCAAAAATGAGTAAAATCACATTTCAGAATTTGTGTAAAACGTTTAACACAAATTTGCATAGATCTCAGAATGTTACTGTGAAGGCTCTGACAAAGAAACTGAAGGAGATCCACCAAAAGAAGGGGAACTTTTGTTTAATAGAATAAAAAATATTTGCAGGAGACAAAAATGCAAAAACAGAAATATCTGAAGTTGCCTTAATTTATGAAAAGGATATAATGTCCCCAAGTTGAGCCTGTGGAGCTACAGAAAATGCACTAGCACTTTGGGAGACACAGGATGGTTCTTTGAGGGCATGAGTATATACACCCTGAGGGACAGCACCTGTAACTGTCTCCACTCTGGTCTACTTACGGTAACCCATTTTACCAGACCATCACTGCAGGTCATTATTCTCGTGCCCTTGATTTGTTTCTCTTACAGAAACAACTCCTCTTTGCCAAAACAACCAAGACTGTAAAAGTCAACTTTAGAAATGACATGTGCATATTTGAAATACTTGGCTTGATCTATGCCCAGCTTTAACCCGCAGAATTTTAAACATCTCAAGTTTTATGTGGGCAAAAGAATTCATCCCCACTCCCACTGAAGCAGTCTCAGTCCCACACTAAGCCTAGGAGAATGGATCGCTGTGAAAGGTCCAAACCCAGGTGCTGGCTCAAGTTCACCCCATCTGTGCCCTGGTGGAGCCCCCAGCCAGCCTGCATTCATCCTTAACACGAGAGCCAGGGTAGGCAGTAAACCCCTGGAAGGGAAGAGGAATGCTGATCTAGGGAATGACCCGTATAGCCAAGCAAAAAAACAGCTTCACAGTCTAGTCCTAGAGGACCTGCAGGTGCAGCAAAGTTGCAGGAAATCAGGAAGCTCAAGACTGAAGAGCCTGCAGAGAGGGGGGCCAAACAGGATTCTTACAGAACCAGAGTGCAGTTCCCCAGGGGCCTCCCTCCTGGGGCTGAGCTCCACTGTCTGCATTCCAACAGGCTGAGTTTTCTGGTCCACATCAGTGACAAGAGGAAGAACCAGCAATCTCCTGCATAGCTGGTAGGTGTCCACACTGGAAGGTCTGTGGTGGGCAACGTGCATCCAGGGTTTCAAAAAGTGTGTATGTACCCTTTGTCTGATCCACTTCTAGGAATTTTCCATAATAACCAGAAACAGTGCTCAAACATTTTGGGTGTATGTGTACACAAGAATGTATCTTACCATACTAATTACAAAAGTTGCAAGGTCTAAAAAGATGGAAAGCAAATTCTTCAAACCATAGACAGGATATCTTGAGACAAACTGCTAGCAAAGTTTTAAAGGCATATCTTACTTGTAATAACAGAAAAAGAATCTCTGGTTCTGGGAGCTAACATGGATTCACAAAAAGAGGGGCTAACTGATTAGCCTCATGATTTAATAGTAGAAGGATGTGACAGATGCATCACATCTTTATTTTAACAAAGGCATTTATCAAGATCTCTTGAAATCTTCCCACATACAAGATAGCTTTAAGACAGATTTGTAGCAACACAAAGCAGAGAGTGGTGGATAATAAATCAATGTCGACTTCCAGGAGAACATGGCGGACAGATAACAGCTACTACGGAGGCTCTCTGAAAGACTCGGCTCAGAAGTCAGGAAGGGTGCGGAGTAAGGAGACATAAGCCGGTGGAGATACGCTCTGCTGACTCAGGAACGAACTGGGCTGAGAGAAACCAACTTGGAATGCAGTCCTGGTGCTAAAACAGGAACAGAAAAGCCTCAGTGTAGAGGCTGGAGCCCGCGCCATTGGAAGCCGCGATTTGGGTTTCCCACCGCACGGCAGCTGCCTCTACATCAGCTCGGCAAGGAGAGAGACGCACGGAAGCTCTGAGAATGGGAATCTGCGAATGGAGTCGAAAACAGGACGGGCAGGGAGGCGTGCACTGACTTGTGGTGAGGTGAGTTAGAGAAACTGACACTCTACCACAGTTTGACTCCAGCGGAGGACTTTCTGGGCCCGGGCAGTCCTGCGGGAGCAGGGCGCGGTGGCAACTTCAGCCACACACCCCCCTCTCAGGCGGGATTGGTGAAAAGTGCCTGGCCTACGTGACGCTGCTGGAGGACCAGGTAGGCTAGCCCAACCCAGATCCCAGAACCTGACGGTGGCTGGGAGGGCAGGCCCTGCGTAGGCTGCCTGGTCTGGAACTTCCTCGTGTGCTGCGTGTGGGTAGAAACACCTAACCGGCGCAATTCGATCAGGCTGTGGCTGACAGGGAGAGAAGCTGGGCCTCCTATGTAAGCTTGCATATATAAGGAACAGAGAATATGGGAAGAGGCAGCAACAAGAAAGGCTCCTCGGCCCCCAATTCTGAGAAACAGGTAATAGCGGACACCACACCAATAGACATAAAGCGCCATATAGAGAGCCTCATAGATCAGTTCAGGAATGAAGTTATCAATGACCTGAAGCTAGAAGTATGCAGAATAGTTAGAGAAATGCTAAGCACCACCCAAGAAAAAACAGATGGTGGAATGGAAGAACAGAAAAAGAGGGGAGAATTGTTTGATGGAGAAAACAGAGAAAGCATAGAATACGTAAAGCAGGTTCAAAGGGACTACCAAGATACTAAGAAGTCTATCGAAGACTGGCATAACAGCTTGAAAGAAACTAAGGACAGACTATCTGAACTGGAGGGCAGACTTGTAATATGGGAGAATGAAATGAAAAAATTCTTAAAAATAACAAAGAAACAAACAGCAATAATACAAAGACAAGAAGATGATAAGAGGATCCATAACTTAAGGATTAAGAACATAAAAGAAGAAGTAGGGACACAAACAAGTGAACTACAAAAGCTACTCACAGAAATAATCCAGGAGAATTTTCCTAATTTAGCAAAAGGTAAAGATACTCAGATGTATGAGGCATACAGGACCCCAGCCACCTACAACCCAAACAGAGCAACACCCAGGCATATAATAATAAAAATTCCAGAAATTCAATACAAGAACAGAATATTAAAAGCTGTCAGAGACAAGAAACACCACTTACAAGGGAACACCCATCAAAATTACAGCAGATTTCTCTGCACAAACCATCAAATCACGAAGCGCGTGGGGGAAATAATTCAAGCTTTGAAAGATAATAATCACCAGCCAAGATTGAGATATCCTGCACAACTGTCCCTGGAAATTGATGGAAAAATAAGGTGCTTCCAGGATAAAGAGGAACTGGGGGAGTTTGCAACCACCAATTCAACTCTACAGAGAGTATTGCAGGATATTCTGAAAAAAGAAAAATACAAAGAATCCAGAAATAGTGGCGGGGAGGCCACAACAAATGGAGCAGAGAACAAAATGAAGAAGACAAACTGACAGCTACTGACAGAAAAAGAGCTCAACAGAAATGAGGCAGAGAAGATTGGATGATAGGAACAGCTATTTTGGAGAAAATAAAACCTTAATAGGTAATACTGATTTAGTATCATCTTGTTTTGAAGTCTCATCAAGCTTTTGCTCTTCTGTCTCCATTGGTCTAAATAGGTTGTATCTTATTGGATTTTATTATGTACGATAGTATAAGCAAAAACTTAAAGACAAGGAGATTATACAGAAACCATTGTTCATTTTCTGTTAGTCGATTCTAAATACCCTGTAATGCTGTCATTCTCTTAAATAGTTTTACATTGTTTTGATATATTTAATGCTACAGTATACAAAGTTGTACTCAAGGATTTCAAGGAAAGAGACAATATGGTAACTACTTTTATGTCAGGATTATCTTGTGAAACACTATTCTGCTTAAATGGTTATGTTTTGGTCTGCGCTGTTTTGCTGTTATGCCCTCTTTTATCTCAATCTCCACTCCATTATTTACTTTTTTATTTTTATCCTTTTAATTAAGGGAAAAATAAATAAAAATAGCAGGATATATTATAGTAACCCACTTTGACTTTCCATTATCTCGATTTAAAGCCCTGTATTACTCTCACCATCTTGTTTTTGACTGATGTTCCCCTATTCTGTTTTGCTGGATAGTATCAGGTTCAAAAGTTTAGGCAACAGCTGTGAAGATAATGAGATTCATTATCACGCCCATTCTTGTTGACTTTTATCTACTTTTGAAGACCTACAATGTCTCCAATGTTTTGGTTTTGTCGGTTTTGTTCTTTACTGTTTTGTTCAATTTTATTATAACTAATGATATAGGCAATTCTATTAGAGATAGCGGGAGGCATTATGGTAACCATTGTTGATCACCTTGTATTATGTTTTTACATTACCTATTATGTCCACCATTTTGACTTGACCGATTCTGTTCTGTTATGTCACATTTGGTTTTACTCTCTTCCAAAAAAGTAATAAGAACCGTGGGAGCAATGAAACCCAAAATGTGTAATAGTCACTGTACAAAAGAGAGGAAAAGAAAGTGCTCTAA